CTTTCCCTATTGACTTGTGTCTGCCTGCCTTCCTGGGCTCCTCATATTTCTTTCTACCTTTACCTTTCCCTGTCTCCTTTTCTTGCTTTCTTTGCCTACCTATTTCATAGTTTGCACCCCAGTTCACTTAAAGAAGCCACATGAGGCAAATAAGACAACTTTATCTGTCCTTCCTTCCCAGAATCAGGCCACATGGGCTCTAACGTCACGTTGCTTAGATATCATTGACAGGCCCTGAAAGCCATGTTTTTTTATTTTGTCTCCCAAAGTCGTCCTCTGCCCTGAACTGGGGAAGCCTGTTTAAATCTCTACTCAAATGTATGTAACTTCTGTGGGGGTGCTGACGTCTATTTGCAGGAAAGTACTGAGAGGCTCATGTGGGGTCTCAATAATACAGGTACTGAAGGCAGCTGTCATCCCCACCCCGTGCTCTTGTTTTCCTGGAAAATAGTAGGATTAGATACATTTGAAAGGATTGGTAGCTAACTTCTAACTAATCTTCCTGTAGACATACTGCCAGTGTTCAAAGGCTTGTTACTTGAATAGATTATCATACAGCATAAAGCACATTTGTGCCTTAGAGGTCTCCCAACTCTGTTACCAGGCTTAAAGCGCCTGCTTCTCTGCATGGAGCGTCAGTGACTTCTCATATAGAAGGCTTGTATAGAGGTCGTGAACCATCCTACTGTGAGGAAATGCACACGTTTGGGGCTGGAAAGAAACTGTCTGGAAAAGCTATCATGTACCTAAATAATAATAGATTCCTGTGTTGGGGTAGGGTTTTTTGTTTGTTTAAAATGCTTTTTGCTTTTGGTTATTGTCTTGATGAGTGCCTGCTCTGATATGGTTCAGGAAATCCTGTGTTCTTGAGCTTGGAAAGCTTGTTTCTGTTCAGGAGACTGCTAATGATGGCAGCTTGGTGGAACCTGGACTGCTGGAGTGGACTGTAGAAAATATGGCCAGAGGGTGAACAGTGATGAGATGCCATCTGTCTGCTGACCCACGGTAACAGGCAGAAGTCTAATAAGCTGCATCTACATGTTATTGCAGTCGTGATCTGCTAAGGACTAGGTGCAGATGGTGCAGAAGAGTCAGTTTTTCAGACTTTGTGTGACACACTGAGGACTGGGGGTGAGGGTAGTGAAAGAGTAA